GAGTGGAAGCTGCACCCGAGTCTGTTTCAGGACCTCTCTCACAGGTTCGAGTCTCCAATTCTCGACCTTTTCGCCATGGCCCAAAACACGCAGCTACCAAGGTATTTCTCCCGTTTCCCGGCGTCAGGTGCGGAAGGCCATAATGCCCTTCGATCTCCGTGGCCTCGAGGTCTTCTTTATGCTTTTCCTCCGATACCAATCATTGGGAAGATGATTGCGGAACAAGCGGACCTTCTGTTGGTGGCACCGCATTGGCTGCGCCGGGCGTGGTTCGCTGATCTGATGGACCTATCTGTCGAGCCACGGTGGAGGATTCCTCACGACCAAATTTCTCTAAGCCAGGGAGTTGTGCAACAGCCAGAGCCAGAATGGCTCCAGTTGACCGTCTGGCGCTTGAAAGGATCCGCTTGACAAAAGATCACCTTTCCAGCGAAGTGATATCTACCATTCAAGTGGCCAGACATCCGTCGACAGTACACATTTACAACGCATCTTGGAAAGCCTTTGCTCAATGGTGTGCTATGAATCACGTCGATCCTACAGCTGCGACTGTTCCCAATGTTCTTCAATTTCTACAATCTGGTTTCAAAAAAGGGCTTGCGCCCTCCATGCTTTGTTCCCTCTGCAGCTTTCGGTATCCCGCTACTGGTTTGGTGGGCTATTCCTAGCCGTTTGGTTCTGGTCCAGTAGTCTTCTATGGAGTACACCTTCGTGAAAAGACTGCGCATGCGGAGACGGAGTGGGCGTTACCCCAGCTACAGAGGGAAATGATTGACACTCAGTCGAACCAATGGGAGTGAGGAATACCCATGCATGGGAATGTCATCGCAGCGAGCAGAAAAGGGACGTTCAGGTAAGCCAACATCCGTTTCGGCCTGCAACAGGCCAGGGGAGGGCCGAACAGAGTGTCGGAGGGCGGAATGGGATTTTTCGCCTCCTACCCTTGGCCGCACCTGTTTCTCCACAGGCTTCCGCCTTGAGAGATTCTCCTTTAGCTTTTCTCCTTAGCTAACACGCTCTCGCCCATTCGCCACAGCCAGTCAGCCACAGCCCTTCAGTCCCACCCGCTTCGGCATGGCCCATTCGATGCCACACTGTTCGTCCTTTTAGCCTCCCAGGACAGTTAGCCGTCAGCCAATGGCTAGTTGCCATTGCCGGCAGTGTGGGTGGGGTTTGGGGGAGTTGCTGCAGCCAAACAGTCTCAGGCACTTGTTAGGAGAAGGAAGGGGAGGGATGGAAGGGAAGAGCGGAGATGGAGGTGTGGATAGCTTCATCCAAAGGAGTTTTTGTTTCGGGTGGGTATCCTAGCCTTAGAAAGAGATAGGGAAGGAGGAAGGGAAGGGGGAGAGAGAGAGAGAGAAGGGAGTCAAGAAAGAAAAGAAAGAAAAAGAAAGAAACAAAAGGTGGGAAGGGAGCAGGGAAGGGAACTCCCCACCCCCATCTTTGCACTTCTGGCTGCCAACATTGGCAACTAGCTGATTGGCTGGTGGCTAACCGTCCTGGGAGGCTAAAAGCCTGGGAGGAACAGTGTGGCGTTGAATAGGCTATGCCGAAGGGTGTGGGATGGAAGGACCGTGGCCGACTGGCCAGGGCGAATGGGCAGGGGCGTGTCAGCCGAGGAGAAAAGCTGGAGGAGAATCCTACGAGGCAGAAGCCTGGCAGAGAAGCAGGAATGGCCAAGGGTAGGAGTCGAAAAGTCGTAAACCCGTCAGAGGACTGGATTTGGCCCTCCAACGCTCTGTTCAGCCCTCCGCGGGCCTCCCCTGACCTGTTGCAGGCTGAAAGGGAGCTTACGAGGACCAGATCCGGAGACACCTCTAGACCCCCAAACAGCTTCTGAGGGACGGATCCACCACCCCCTCCGAAGTTCCATTTTGACCGACAACAAGCAGGACGAATGTTACAGAGCCTCTGTTGCTTTTCATAAGGGCGAACAACTGCTGTGGTGCTGCAAGATTCATAGTTTTGGACCTTGTTCGCAAACGCTGGGGGACGCTTATCGCATAACTTTGAACGTTTGCTAAGGGAACATTCGTAACCCAGGGATTACCTATACACATCCAATTCCCTTGCTATATTGCTGCTGCAAAGAGAGAACAAATTTATTACAGACACATAAGAACAGCAAAAGTTTAGAACAAAACTCAGGTGGGGTAGTTGGGAGTGGGGGATAATCAGTAATATCCCTAATTACACCTGAGTTGTTCCTGACTTCAGTTCTCAACAGCAAATGAGTATATTCTAGTATATACTATTTATAACACAACCAGTTCTTCCCTTGGAGGAGTATGTTAATAAATTATGAGTAACCTTTTCATTTTTTCACTTGCTATTTTACTTTTTATTTGCATATTATGCTATAATATACTTCATTTGCATATTAAAATAGGGAGCCTTCTTTTATTTTTTCACTGTAGCTGGCTTGAAAAGATCTTAATTTGTATAATATAGGAAAGCATGGTTTTGTTAGCATGCATGTTCACTCACTCTGAGCAGATAAAAATTTCTTGTATTGCATTATATTTAGGGTAACTTATTAATTGGATTTTCTTTAATCCGTACATAGCTTTTTGTTCAGTTGAAAGAATATTATTTTTCTTTTATTATTTAAATACTTTCCAACAAATTTTCAGACAGTATGAAGGTATATCTTGTCTGGCCGTATATTAAAAAAATAAAGTACATGAAGATAGTAAGCAATTGACATTTTCTTACATTTCCCTTACTGCTATTCTTTGTATAGTCAACGCAATTTTACTGATGCCGGGGGGGGGGGGATTTTAAAGTAGTGACACAGTGACAACAACTATATTAGTGGTTGCTGGCTGATTATTGATATGGCTGTTACAGATGCCTCAGGTGGGGGGAAGCCTAGTCCAGATCCACCTGTCCTTGGCCTCCCAAGGCTCCCCTCCCCCAGGACACTTCCTGCCCCTTGGTATCTTCACAAGTCTTGGGCCTGCTTTCCACTCCATCAGGTCCCACATTCTCCTCACCCCTTGTCACCAATCACTAACCTATTCTCTGTAGAACAGAGATTGCATTGGTGAAGGAGAGCAGGCTGTTTTGCCACCTGGCATTCTGTTAGCTTCGTGACAATATCCAAGGATCAGGCACTATAAAATGATGTCCATTTCCAGGACAGCCATGCAGCCTAGGGATGCCAAGAAGTGAATCAGCCTGCTTTCTGCCTCCAACACAAGCTTCTGGACTTCCAGAACTCTACAGTAAATAAGTGAGCAATCAGTGATGGAGTTGGGGAGGAGGATTTGGGACTCAATGGAGTATGAAAGCAGGCCCAACGCCTGTGGAGCAGGATTGCAAGAGAAGTGAGCAGGAGGTTACTACAGATCCCTGCTGTCAATCATAAGGGAAAATATGACTGCAGGGGCGCTGCAGTGATTATAACTTTGAAACCGGGTAATGAATAGCTTTTCAGGAGTCCATTATAACTTTGAACTTAGTGACCAGTCATAACTTGTGAACTACCTGTAAACAGAAACCTAGAAACTTCTGGAGGAGAGAATGCTTAGTTGGCTTAAATCGGATCGGTCTATTTATTGTAGTAGTAGTATTTATTCACATGCTTCCAAACTGGAACTAGTATGGAGATTTTTTTTTCTGTGGGGCTAAATAGTTGGAAGTTAAACCACCATTTTTTAGACCCTCAAAAAATAGGGTTGTGAAGAGCTTTCCCATATTTTCCAAGATGAGGGATTGTTGCTTTGGCATAGGTTTTTCTTGAAAACTCCAAGTGTGAGAAACAGTTATAAGGATCTTCCTTGATGCAACTCTCTCAAGTACAGAAGTATACTAACCACAGTCTCTGCTTCTCTAACTGCAGAAGTAATTTCTTATATATATACATTATGGGAGAGCTTTAAAGGAATGCACTGTATGTTATCCTGAACTTCTTTCCAATTCTCTAAAAATATGTGGACTATATTTGTTATAGGTTGGGAAAGCAGCTCACATAATATCCTCAAAGCCATCTGCGGATCACTGTGTGCAAAAGTTCAGGAGAGCTGGAGGCTCTAAATATGGGGCTACAGATGATGGAAAATTGCTAGTAACTGGGGAGAGGAATCTTTCTGTGGTAGTATAAGAAAATTCAATTTGATTCAGGCAATTTACCCCTTCTTATTATATTCATGTATTTACTTTTCATTCTAACACAAGATACAAGCCATTGTAAACCTCTTCAGTTTCCCACCATTATTGATCTAACTTTTTGTGATATTGCTGCAACAATAATTTTGACCTTATTTAATATGCAAACATTCTCAATATTTGAACTGTCCCATAGGCTATAGACTACAGCGTGGGAAAAAAGACAAAGAAACATGATCATGGCTTACTGAATCATATGCCAAACTAAAACTAAATTATATGGTATAAAGAATAATAGTTTTTTCTTCCTTGTGTTACTAGAAGTTAATTACCCAATGCCATTTATTGCAGGAGATTGAGGACAGGCAAAATTATCTCTTTCATGCAATATGCAGTTGAATTATGGAATATAGTAATCTAAATGAATCACCATTTTGGATCAACATTAGATATGGTGTTATTTATTATTGCTGTCATGATTATCTTGCTTCACTAAGATTACAAAAAGCACGATTGGAATACCAATTCCATTATAAGTGAGAAAGAATCTTTCTGCTCTGTTCCTGCTGTCATTTCTTGTAAATATTTGGTTTACCTAATACAATTATACTCCAATTATCCTCCACAGAGTTTCAAAATGTTCACAGTAGTTGAAAATTAATCTTAATGTAAAATGATAAAATGTAAAGCATTAAAAAATAAAACCAAAATGATAAAAGGTAAAGCAGTTTATAACAGTTCTGAAGATGTTTAATAAAAGATAACATGAAATCTAGAAGATTACACATTAATGTTCTGTTTGTTTCTAATTATAAATTTATTGTCACAGTGAAGAATAACTTATTTTATCATTAAGTGGTCTGTTTTCCTTTTGTATGCCTTAATTACAGGGGAGGTATTTGATTATCTAGTTGCACATGGAAGAATGAAGGAAAAAGAAGCAAGAGCAAAATTTAGACAGGTATGAAAATACTTTTATGTAAAATATTTCAAGATGTTTTCCTGTTAGTGATTGATCTCATCCTTAGCATATAGATAGATGCATTTGTTCATGGTGGAAAATACTGATAAAATTGACTTCAGTAATGTCACTGCAGCCCACCAATTTTGATGCTTTAGTTATATGATACAGCATTAAGGGAAGGTAACTCCTACATAATTTGTTGTTTCTACAAGAAGTTAATGAAGAATAATAGAAGAATCCAATCAGAGCAGGAAGAGACTGTTTAGGCAATTAAATCTAATCTCAGTCCTATGAAGGAACCTAAAGGCATCGACAATTTATGTCTGTCTTTTCTGCGTTAGTATGTCAGGTAAAGGGAAGCAAAAACATTATTGTAGAATGTTTCCTAATATTGAATTAAGAGTGTGCATTCTTCATCTTAAATTGATGTTTATGCCCTGTGGGATGAGAACAGGTCTTGGTATCTTCTGTTTGACACTTTTTTCCAGATATTTCAGATATTTAAAGAATGCTGTCATAATTCCCCCTTGTTTTCAGGCTAAATATCTCCATTCTTTCAATATTTCTTCATAGGACTCAATTTCTAGCTCCCTGATAATTCATTTTGCTGTTCTCAGAACCTGTTCCAGTTTGTCTAATTCCTTTTTGAAGTATGATGCCCACAACTGGGCACAAGCTTTGAGAGGCAGTGTGATTAGCCTAGAAGGAAGTATTGTGATTTCAATATGTTTTTATTGTGGCTTTAAATTTCATTTTATGTTTATGCAATAATCTTATTGTTGGCTCATTCTCAGTTTGCAACCAACTTGTTTTTGAAGACTTTTTTCACAAGTGCTATTACCATACCAGATGTTCCTCATCTTATACTTGTGCACTGATTTGTTTTCCTAAGTGAAGAATTTTACTTTTGTCTCTATTATATTTCAATCTGTTAAATTTTAGCTCATTTTTGTAAGTTGTGAAAATAGTTTGTGAATGGGATATTAATATTCCATCCAATGTGTCATCTGCAGATTTGATAAGCATTTTGTTCATTTGCTCAGTCAGATAATTAATAAAAATATTAAAAGAATAGGGAACCCAAAACAGTTCCTTTGTGGCATTCCACATGATTTCTGTCTCCAGTTTGATGAGCACTATCTCTGCACCCCCTTCAGAGGGTTATCCACAAATGTGACCAACTTCACTCCCACATTCTAGCCTAAAACCCAGCTGGAAGAGATTCTATAGACCTTCCTATTTCTTTTTTGAGCAACGTTTGTTCTCTACATTCATCTGATACTTCACTACCTGATCAGGATTTCTCCAGCAGAATTCATAGAGTTTCAACTGGATTATCAATAAATTCCCTTGCTTTGCATCTGGCTCTACAGAGTTCAAGTTATTCATATTACACTTCTTCAGTCCCATGCTTTTGACTTGCCCCTTCATTCTGCTCTTTGTAATTGCCAAGAGGAACACATCCCATCTTACTGAGGAAGATTGAGCAGAAGCTAAAACTGAGTAATTTATGTTTTCCTTCACTTTTTTTTGTCTGCTAGTATTTTATAGTCTTAATTAAGCAGATGATATGCTATTTTTTTCTTGGTTTTGAATATTTCTGAATGAGTTCTTTTTAATTGTTCTTATTATTTGCCAATCCGTGCTCAGTGTAATACCAACTTTATGGACTGTCTCTGTGCACTCTTCCTTGGTGGTACATTGCTCTTTCCTCCACCTATATGTGTCTTTTATATGTGCTGTTTTAATTTTCAAATTTTCACTGAGCATTTTGTCATGTAGGCTTCTTGTGCAATCATGCAAATTTGCTTTCCTCCTTAAAACTGGTTGTCTTGGGTTTTTTGTTATAAATCCTTGTTTATATTATTGAAACAGTTTTTTTGAACTCTACAATGAATTACTTTTGTATAACTATGTTATCACCATTACAATCTGCAAAATAACTTTCTTAGCACCCAGATTCCTAGTTTCACTTCATTTTTAAAAATAGATTTTTATTTTTGAATATGGGGACTAACATGCTACAGAGCAAAGGATGAACCTTCATCATTTTATTTCAAGAATACCTTTGGGCACATTGGGACCCATGGGAATTACTTAGAACATTTTTTTAAAAATTCCATTGGGTTGCTAATGAAGGATTAACATTAGGCAATGTAAATAATAGGCTTGCCTTCAGTCTTGTAGTAAATACTACTATTTGAATAATTCTTACTAATTTTGACAATATATTTGAACCAGCACCCTTTAGCATTCATAATATGTCTTGTATTGCCTTTATAACTTTTCTTAATTTTAAGCACAGTTGCTAGAATATATGATTGCAAAATCTGATTCTATAAACAATATTTTTATCATTGAACTTGTTTTCTATCCAGATAGTATCTGCAGTGCAGTATTGCCACCAAAAGCATATTGTTCACAGAGATCTCAAGGTAAGAGAACTATAAAGAATTTTATGTGACAATAATTTGCATTTTAGCTCATATTTTTTTACTCTTGCATTTAACTTTGGTTTAGTCTGAAAAAATAATGGATTACATTCTGTGCAAAAATGAACTATTGCTTGGCATGTTATTAAGGCAAATATTTGGCTGGCATTTTGAACATGTTTTAAGGGACCAGATAGAAATAAGTATGGTTTTTAATACTAAATAAGGCTCTGTTGTACAAGTACAAGATGATTGTAAATGCAAAAGTAGAAGCAATACATCTAATTTCTCACTTTAAGCTTTACATAGCCTCACACTGTCTATGTTTCTTATTCCATCACTCCTTGTCTCTAGGAAAAGTTGTTCATACTCAATGTGATATGATCTATTTCCAGACCATAACAGCAGCAACATTCCACATTGCTCATATTTTAATATCCTCATAATTCCATCTTTGTTTGGACTTTCAGCATCTTTGTTTAATTTCCCTTATTTCTTCAGTTCTTCATGTGCTGTTCCAAGATTTTAAACCTGTTTCCTGGCTTTCCTTTCCTTCTTCAATGTCCACATTTAAAACTCTGTTTAACTGTTTCATTTTAATTTCTCACTGCCAAAAGCATATGGTATAAAGAATAATAGTTTTAACCCTTAACTTTCCTTTTTTCCTCAATTCTAAACAATATTAATTCGAAAAAGTCATTATGAAACTTCAGGTTTTGAAAAAATCAGCTCTTTTTGCTATCTTTTCATAAAGATGATCAATCTTTATGAAGCAATAAATATAATTGGGTATATTTTACGTTCCTTATTTGTTTTCAGTTTCCAGATAATGTTCAGCTGTTTATCTATTAAATGTTTAACCGTTACACCAATTACATAAACTACATCTTGAAAACCAGCAAATAGAGGAAGCTGTTTATTTTTTGTGGCAAGAACACCTCCCCCCCCCCCCTGCACAAATCTTACCGCATTATTTTTCCCCTCTAGGCTGAAAATCTATTACTTGATGCAGACATGAACATTAAAATAGCCGATTTTGGTTTTAGTAACGAGTTTACAGTTGGTAATAAACTGGACACATTTTGTGGCAGTCCTCCCTATGCTGCTCCAGAACTCTTCCAAGGCAAGAAATATGATGGACCTGAAGTAGACGTTTGGAGCTTAGGTGTCATTCTTTATACTCTTGTGAGTGGATCTCTGCCTTTTGATGGACAGAACCTAAAGGTACGTATCTAATTTATATTTAAAAGATGAGGGAGGGGAGACACTTCTTATGTCATTTCTCATCTGTATCAGCCTACTGACTGCTTTTTGTAATTTTCTGATCACTATTGATTTAAGGAACTCAGAGAGAGAGTGTTAAGAGGAAAATACAGGATTCCTTTCTACATGTCAACAGATTGTGAAAACCTGCTAAAACGTTTCCTGGTGCTAAATCCAACTAAAAGAGGCACTCTTGAGGTAATAGCATACTCAATAAACTTACTCTTATTTCACTGTAGCACATTTAGTAGACTTACTAATTTTTACATTCATTTTTGCATAGATTATATTCCTTGCTAACTTTTCATCTGCTGGATCTCCCAAGTTGTTTTTCAATTGCAGAAAGAGAAAACATATTAGGTATATTAAAATGCATGCAGCATATTTTATACCAGATATAATTAATCTACCTCCCATGCCCTCTCCATTACATGAGAAACTCAAATCTTGTTGCTGCCTTATTGCATATTGCATGATGCCCCGAAAATCGGGGCACCATGCAGTTGACTGAAATCATTGTATTAACAGTAGTAAACTCTGTCTTGGTGTTTTTTAAAGAGGTTTGTGAATTTTAAAGAGGAAATTTAAAGCGGTTTGTAAATTTTAAAGAGGTTGTGTTCCATCTGAAATGTTCTTTGTTAGTCTGAATATAACTGAATGACTTTATAACAATAATTTATATGCCGATGTTGTCCTTTCTCCCTTAGAAAGCGCTTGTTTAAAACAAAAATCAAAGTGATTTGTGAACATGCTTTTAGAATCAAAGCAGAGATCTATTTAAAGTATTTGTTTCAATGGTAGCCAGCAGTCTGTCTCTGAGAAGCCCACACGCAGGACACAAATCACTTTGATATTTGTTTTAACCAATTTTTCCTTTGGTTTCTCAACAACTAGTTCTGATATGTTAGAAATAATATATAACCAACTTGATGAATCTGTTTTGTTAGCCGTTTCTTTAGTCTAATGAACCTGGATTGTAGAAATTCAGAAAGTATCTACTCCATTAGTGAACCCATCTGGTTGTCCAAATTTCTGCAACCGAAATACTATTCTTCATGTTAGTTATATTATGTGAAGGAATCTTAAGTACCAATTATGTGGTATACTGGTAATTGTTTAACAACTGGCTCTGCTAGATCCACTGCTGCCATTGCTACACTGAACAGCTGATCTGCATGCTTGGCATAGTAGCTTAGCTCTGCTCTCGGTCAACTAACAAAATTCCAGAAAATTTAACAATCACCTCTTGTGAGCTGGAACAACCTGGCTCCACCACACCACTATACCATACTATCTAAGAATTGAGGAGAAAAATGTAATAAGCTAATTTCCTCCACAATACCAATTGTATTGGTAAGCTGTTGGTGAAAACAATGTCTGGTAAAATGTCTGGTAAAATACCCTTGGATACAGCCTTTAGTGTTTTAGAGCAATGGAAAAAAGGCATACATGACATGATATAATGAATCAGCAGACTTTTTGAGACTCTTTGTGAGAGAAATGTCCCTATTCTTTTGTACAAATTCGCCATTATGCAAATAGCAAAAAAGAGAAAAAGTTACAGATAGAAAATATTTAAGGAAAGGACTATAGCATACCTGAAATTATAGTGAGTCTCTTTGATTGAAGCCAATCTTTTAACCCTCTACTATATAATGATAGAGGGTTCTTATTAGCATGCCTCTCCTACTTTCTTTTGTACTGTGAACACAGACATTATAATCACTAAGACTTGTCTGTTTTAGCAGCAAGCATCTATCCCATCTTATTCCTAGGAAGAAGTCAAAGATTGCTTAGATAACCATACTTTCCCCTATTTCCTTTGAGGGGACCACTTCTTTCTCTCTTTGGATCAGTGTAAGCCTATATACCAGAAACATCCTATACTGTCCTTCCTTCTTCAGTAAGTGTCTGATAGAAGGTGATTCGGTAATTAAATTCATGGGGGGGGGATGTTATGGATTGTAATAGAAAGGCTAGATCACAGAATCATGATAATTTCAATATAGCCTGAACTAGTTCTTAATATGGACTTTCTTTAGATATTCTAGCTTTCCATTGCTAGAATTTAAAATTTACATCTGGTGCGTTGTATGCAGAATGAGAAAGTAAGATTTGGCAAAAATAATTTTGCCACATGTTAAAAAGATATACTATTCATTTTGCTGTATAAAGGACGAGGGCAGTGTTAGTATTGGAAGGAAAGGCAAGTGCCAGTGCTTATTTCTCAAATAAGGCAAGCTTACTTGCCTTCAGTTATCTAAAGTATTAAGATGTGAGCTTTACTAGAGATGTTTGTTGCTGTTGGAATAATATAAAAAATATAAAAACTTTTTATTTGCAGCAAATAATGAAGGACAGATGGATCAATGCAGGACACGAGGATGATGAACTTAAACCTTTTGTGGAACCAGAATTAGACATCGCAGACCAGAAGAGAATAGGTAACTAATGAATTGAGATAGGAAGCATCAATAATTAATAAAATAAATAGAGTACATTGTAATACGGGGTACTGCTTTGTTTAATGGGCAGATTTATACAGGACAAAGATATTTGCCATAATATGTCTGTAAATTGAGTTAAATGTTTTATTATACATCTATAATTAATGTAATATGCCAATCAAGCTTGAAAATTCCTTTTTTAGATATTATGGTTGGAATGGGATATTCTCAAGAAGAAATTCAGGAATCTCTCAGTAAAATGAAATATGATGAAATCACTGCTACATACTTACTACTGGGGAGGAAATCATCAGAGGTAAGTAAATTTTGCAAACTAACATTATAAGCTGAATATAATCACAAAGCATATTGTTTTATTAATATTTCATTAAAATTAGTATCGTGTGTGTGGTCTATGCGTGTGTTCAGTATTTAGCAGTACAAGTTGATTCCCATATCAGTTGTGCAGCAGTTCTTTTTAAATAGATGCATGAATTTAAAACTTGAAACAGCTTGTTCTCATCGTAAAAAACTAGGATGTAAGATATCTTAATTGGCTTATATACTCTTGAATATAAAAACAAATAATAGTTTCCAGATGCTTACATAACAAGCATCTTAATACACTTGAAGTAGTAAATTTAGGAGAGACAGTTTGGTGTTATGGTTGAGGCATAAGGCAGGAAATAATCCCTTCTGGAACAGTGGTGCTTCCATTTAAGCAAGATTTTACATTTTCTCTCTATGCTTCTGTTATTTTACACGTATTTGTTTTCTTTTTATAAAATGGAAGAGAAAGGAAATGACACACACACACACTAAGCATTTTCAGTATTAATAAAGTAAAAATAATAGTTCTAGAAAGAAATTACCAGAATTATTTACTGATAAATAAATATTTACTCTTTACATTGAGTCTGTGATCAGGGGAGATGCCGATGCAAATAAAAGGTGGCCATCTTCATTTTAGTGCTATTGAAGTATTATAAGCTCTGAATATTCATTGGCAGTTGCCAACTGATACCAAACATGCAATGATAGCGGAAGCACTAGAGAATTTTATATTTCTCTTATAGCAGCCAACATTTTTAAATGAAATCTGTCTTCCCCCTCCCTCGTTCCTAATTGGAATTAGGGAAAAAGAAAATAACCACAGCAGCTAAAAATGTTGGATCAAATTATTGATTATGCACTATCAAATCACTGTGGACTTTTAGCAACTACATAAATAGATTTTCTCCTTGAGGAACTGTCTCTACCGTAGTTTTTCACGTCTTTCAGTGATACACTGATCACTATGGAACTGAATCCATCCAGCTTGCTGGTAGTCATCCTGGGTTTTTTTTCCCTTTTATCTTTTTTAATATTAGAGTCTTCTTCAGAGATTTGTATAATGCAGGTGAAGGTTTGTTCTTTGAGCTTGTGGGTTGGTTTCTGAAGGTTTCATTAACCAGGCTAGGTAACCCCTAAACTCCATTGAAGATATTAGCCTGGTAATGAAACCTTTGGAAACCAACCCACAAGCTCGTAGAATGAACCTTTACCTTCATCCTACACCCAACCTACAGATATTCATAATTTGTATTATGTATCCAAAGTAGGATAATTTGAGCCTGGTCATTTGTGCCTAAAGTGAGAACACTGGGTTGATTTATTCAATGAGTCTTTGATTCTCAGGAGTTTTCTCCAACATTATCAATATTCTTCCCATCCTGCTTCTTCAAAGTCCAACTTTCATTTCTCTAGAATGTCACAGGGAATCCCATGATTCTGATCTTAAAATGCTGGATAGCTTTGGAAAGTGATAATTCTGGGCTTTGTCAGTTTGAATTAATTTCAGCTGAATGAATTATGGTAGAATGTCTAAAGACTGCTTGCAGCCTCCCACCACACTGCAGTTGTGTAATCAGAATCCAAAATGGCCTGTTTGCAGCTTTTTTTTTCCAGATTTAAGATAGGAAGTAGAGCAGGAAACTCTGGCAGGCAAAACACTCATATCCCCATTTTTGATCTTCCCAACCACACCCAACCAGTAGCTAGGAATAGAATCACAAATAGTAATTTTAATCTGATTGTTTTTTTCAGGAGTATTAAGGTTGAGAAAATTCTTACAATACGAACATTTTCTACCCCATCTTGAATTATTTTAACTATGTTTGGTGGAATAAGCTATAATGACTAGCTTCATACATCACACTAATCCAAACCCCCTTCCTCCCTGTATTATAATTTAGCATGATGTGTAAAGACAGCCACAAAGAACTAGACTTAGTTTTCTTTATATTCTTATTGAATGCTGATCCACATTGCTAATGACCTAACTTTGTCCTCTCTATTTATATTTAGTTGGATGCTAGTGACTCAAGCTCTAGCAGCAACCTTTCTCTTGCTAAAGTCAGGCCAAGTAGCGATCTCAACAATAGCACTGGACAGTCTCCACATCACAAAGTTCAAAGAAATATATCTTCTAGCCAGAAGCAGCGAAGGTACAGCGACCATGGTGAGTGACTTTTCATTGTCTCAGAACTCTTCTGCTCTAGAAAACCAACACATAGGATGTAGAGGTTGAGTCTCTGCCTCCAGAGAAAAAGAAAAGACTGTGCCAACAATGAAGAATTTAGCATATGGCTAATCAGAAAGTTTTGAATTTAATGGTGGAGGCCAATTATGTACTACAGCTTCTCTGGCTGCAGATTTAACTATTATTCAAGACAATGGGTTATAAATGTTGATGCCAAATAAATTCTAAAAACTAATAAAGGGATGTTTGATGAATTTCTATTCATTATGAAATACATATTGGGACACATTGCTATATATTTACACCCAAATACCTTTCCATTATAGGAGTTTATTAGATATGGTCTATTAGCTTATCTCTTGCTATTTCCATTATCCACAGCACAATTTTAAAACAGTTTTTTTATACTATATAATTTTACTTAAAGCTTATCAATAAGAAAAAAAAATCAAATAGCATTCTTACCTAATGGATACATTTAATGAGCACATTTTTTTCAAGATTTCTTCCCACAAAACACGTTTCCTTCTAGTTCTGTTGTCTGATGGTATATGTGTATGCATGCACATTTGTGTTTTTGTTTTCATGAAGAACTTCATATTTACTCTTACTTGCAGAGAGTAAGTAAGTAAGTAAATGACAGATTTACTTTGTGAAATAAAGTAAATTTATTTACTTTATTTACTGTCATTTATTTCACAAAGTTTCTAATTATATATGGGGTGGTGCAGTGGCTCATTGGTTAAGATGCTCCATTGTCTGCTGGAAAGCCGGCAACCAAGTTTCAATACCCGAGTGCCACATACCAGGGTGAACTCCCATCCTTGCCCCAGCTCCTTCCAACCTAGCAGTTTGCAAGCATATAAATGAAAGTAGATAAATAGGTACCAGTTCACTCCGTGATGTCATGCTAGCCACATGACTGTGGAAATGTCTTTGGACAGTGCTGACTCAAGGGCCTTGAAACGGAAATGAGCCCTATAATTAGCAATAACTAGTAGAGTAAAATCCACTGAAATTCCTTTACCTTTTTTTACCTAATTATATAGAGCAGCAATTCAATCAAATTTGCTCTGTATGATGTAATAAAAGCAGTTACTTCATTTTTTAAGATAAGGGTATGTTGAAGTTTTTAAACTAAGAAAAGAGTAGATATATTTGGATTCGATGGGAAAGCATATGTTCTTTTGTTGCAAAAATTGTGTGTCTTTGAACATGGGGATGATATGTGTGTGTGTGTCTGTGTGTAGATTAAGTTATAATAACCGCCATTACTGACTGCATGAAAGCAAAATTATGTTTAACTGTATAACATTTTAGCTTTGCTCCATCTGAGAATGAGATGAGTGGCACCTAAATTTGACAAATAAATAAATAAATCCTCATTGTTTTAAAAGAAAATAGCTGCAGATTCTGTGACAAGTTAATTTGCAGCAGAAAGAAAAATCTGTAATAGTCATCCTGGATACAAAGTGGAAAAAAGGTTGCATTATTTTTTGGGTGATGTAATAGTTAGGATGTTGTACTCGCATTGAAAATCCCAGGCTCTAATCTACTCTTAGTCACAGAAATGCTGTAGGACAGTCATTTTCCCAGCCTACTACAAAGGACTGTTGTCGTGGAAAAAGGGGAAAACTCTATATACTACTTTAAGCTTTTGAATAAAAGGAATGGTACAAATTTCACAAATACATAAATTATTAAATTCTTTCTGAAGCTCTTGCTAACAGCTGCAAAAAATAAACATAGCTTACTTCTTCTTTTCTTCCAAAAGAGCTAATGCAATCAGGTGTCTAAGAGTGTTTGAATACACAAAAACACCTTCGTCCATCAAGTGATGCTAGGAGCACTTCTCCAATGCTGGCATCACTAGAGGTCACCAACAAGAGTGACAGTGACATTTCTGTTAAGCATCTAGGCCTGAATCTTGGATGGAAAGGGCCCAGCAAGTACATTTTATGCAGGAATCTGTGAAGCTGTAGTGCAACAATCTTACTAAACAAGAAAAGTTGGAGAATGGCTGATAGTTGTCTAAAACAGAGGAGTCAAATGATAGCATCTTAAAATGGGGAAGGACATAATAATACCCCTTCCAAAGCAGGAGGTAACACACACACCCTCACCCACATTCAAGCTTGTTCTTAATTGGAACTATCTTCAATCTTACAAGAATTAGAACATGTCTCTAATTTTTTTCACTTGGGTTTCAGAAAGAAATGCTGCACTAGCAGTAAAAAACAAAAGAATTGCCCTAGAGAGTGGGCAAGTTAAGAAAAGTAGATGTATTGTTGGTAATGTCTTCACTGAATATTTCTTAGAATATAGGTGCTTATTTCTTAGATATTACATTTTCACGGATATTTTGCAATCATAAAATACAACAATTCTATGTTGTTTCTTTCAGCTGGTCCATCTATTCCTCCAGTAGTAGCATATCCTAAAAGGAGCCAGACAAGTACTACTGACAATGACCTCAAAGAAGAAGGGATTCCATCAAGGAAGTCCAGCAGCAGTGCAGCTGGAGGAAAAGGAATTGCTCCTGCTAGCCCTATGCTTGGGAATGCAAGCAATCCAAATAAAGCTGATATACCTGAGCGTAAAAGAAGTTCTGTTACACCCAATGTAAGTTGTGGATTTTCTTTAAATTATAAGACTATCTTACTCTTCAACCAACCTTATTTATTAGGGGTAAATTTGGGGCAAAACACATTAATTTTTTTATCAGTAAGAAACATGGTATCTCAGGTCTATTCTGTGCTATATCTAATTCTGAACTATCTCACCATAGATTCTTAGTGTGGGTATGATTGTGAGAATCTATTGATTAGGTATTTTTCCTCCTGAGTCAACTTTGAGCTTAGGGTGAACTAAGTCATTGTTATGGTACTGACACAATGTTTTTAATTATTTTTGGACTGGCTATTAATGTGGAATTCTGTAAGGGAAATGGACATTGACCCATTTCAGATACATGATATAGTTTTCCAAAAGTTGGAGAATTACTACCTCGTATGTTGAAACTTTGATTGTGGAAAGTGAAAATGCTTCTGATAATTAAATTTGTTGCTTTAGAGTCAGGTAAGCTTTCAGATTTAACAGGTGAAAGAGGTGAATGAAATAGAAATGGGGAAAAATGCTCAGCTTAGTATCATCTGGAGATCTGATCTATGACAATGAAGACATCCTAGTCATGTCCTCACAAAATCAACTGCACCTTCTCTCTTTCCCAGTTCTGGCTTTCTCTCTGTTTCCCAGTTCTGGCTTTCTCAAACATAATCAGTCTGACCATCAGCAAATTTCCAGTCTGAGTTAAATATATTTAGTCCCATAAACTTAAACTCATTTATAGTAATACTGAGAACTAGTTTGGTGTAGTGGTTAAGGTCTCAGGCTAGAGACACGGTTAGTTCTAGCCCTGTCTTAGGTACAAAAGCTAAGAATGCAGTGACAAACCAGTTCTGAAAAATCCTGCCAAGAAGGCTGAAGGGAGCTATCTAGGCAGTCCTTGAGAATCAGACATAATTGAACAGAAATACATACATACATACATACATACATACATACATACATACATACATACATACATCTTAAGCTTCACTCCTGGGAAGTTGCATACCATTTTGTTTGAAGAAACCAAGTCAAAATAAGAATTTAATAGCTGTGCCTTTTCTTTGTATTTTTTGTATTCTTATTATTTTACCATTTTCAGTGAGTAGCTGTACACGTTTTTTTTAAATTTGGCATATAGTTGAACAATGTTTTCATTAAAATCCACTGTTTCGAATTACAAGATTCAGGTGTGATTCAGCTTGAATATCCCTTAAAATCAAGGACTACAAAATTAGCATGGTCGTTTTTCCCTGGTATTCCTGCTTCTCCTATAAGTCAACAAAAAAAAAAGTCCCATCTGTTAATACCCAGTCATGGATAGATGATCTTCTTGTAGTTTCCTCCATCTTCTGAAAGAAAAAGTTGTCAGCAAAATTAGTTAAGAATTCATGAAAGGTCATGCTTACAGATTTTATTTTCCAGTCAATGTTAGAATAATTTTCTATAGAGATTCTCAATCATCCAGATCATGGTTGTCCCAAAGGTACTTTTTCAAGACCTAACTGGACTTTCTGGTTTTTCTTTGAAGATGTTTCGCTTCTCATCCAAGAAGCTTCTAATTATCCTAATTATTTTCCTTATTTATTCAGTTAGAACAGAAGAGAAAATACATACGGATGTTTTGTGTTCTTAATTATTCAGTTAGAATAATTAAGAACACAAAACATCCTTAACATATACATCTTCCACATCTAAATTCTCTCCCTGATTAACAAGCAGTAATCAACAATATTGCTTTTATTCATTCTTCCACTTATTTTAATTCAGATACTTTCCATGGTATCACTAGATTGTTTGGCTTTTTGAGCAAGAGTGGGTGGCGGAGTGGTTAGAATGCAGTATTGCAGGCTTCCTCACTGCCCAGAGTTCGATACGGACTAACTCAAGAATGACTCAGCCTTCCATCCTTCCGAAGTTGGTAAAACGAGGACCCAAATTTTGGGGGGCAATATGCTGACTTTAAACCGCTTAGAGAGGACTGCAAAGCATTGTGAAGCACTATGAAGTGGTATATAAGTCTAAGTGCTATTGCTATTTTTAACATATAGAGCAAGTCCTCCTCCCATCACTTTTGTTCTTTTTTAACACATGCTCTTCAATTGCTATCTTCCAATCATGAATGCCATACCCTCAGGTCTCCATTATAGCTATTAAATCATATTTATCTTCCTTTACTAAGAGTTCAAGCTCATTTAGTGTGCATTTAGATTATTTCATCTTGACTTTACTTGGGGTGATTCTTGAAAATGCTTGGATCTAAGCTGCTGAAAAATACAGAATAGCATTATCATTTTTCCTTAATAATGAAACAAACACAAACAAAATGTTATTTATAACATTCACATATATTATAAAATGGTAATTAAGACCCATCTTTTTAACTTTTACTTTTAAAATGCATTTGTTTTCTGCTGCTATCATGATTGTTTTGTTGTTGTCAGCATGGCATTTTTTTCATTATCTGTTTTAGTAACTTTTATATGAAAGCTGTATAAAAATACTAATAATAAATGAAATCCATTAAATTAATAAGCTTCCATCACAGTTCTATATAGAATAGCTGTCTGTTACAACTCCTGATTTTATTCTTCCAAAAACATCTCTCTCCATCTTTGTCCAGTTATAAACTGCCTTGAGATTTTTCATTTGAATCAGCAACATTGTTCAAATAAATACATAATGCAAGATACTGAGTATTGTGTCAATGTTTTGCATTGCTTAGCTTATCCAAGCCTACTAGGCAATCATAGAATTATGAAGTTGGAAGAGGATCATGTAGTCCAAATTCTTCTTGAAAAACCTTCAGAGTTGGAGAAGAAGTCCATAGATTGGTTCATACTATACTGTCATGAAGTTCTTCCTAATTTAAACAAAATCTGTTCTAAAATTTAATTTATTCTATTTCCATAGCTACCCATCTGTCAGGTGCAAACAAGCAGACCCATAATTGAGTTCAGTTAGCTGTTTTATTGCTAAAGCCTCTCACCTGGATGACACTAGACAAGTTCAAGGGCTTTTGGGGGAGCAGTTCTGACTTTCACCCTTTTGTGCCCACATACGGATTCCGACAATTCCCCCTTTGACCCACTTCCCTTGGGTGGACTAATATCTATACTAGCTCATAAAAAAGACTATAGATAGATACATACTTTCAGTGTGCTATATTATACATCTAATTTTCCTTGTCTTAACAATGATATTCAAAAAAAAAAAACTTCCCACAGTTAAATGGAAATTACAGTTTCTGTAATCTGTTAAAAGTCCTACAGTAGATTGTATCTATACATTAATTAGTGTATAGCTTAAGCAAATTCTTAGTGAAAACAGCCATTGCAAAGCCATTGCATTTGTGACTTCATAATTTCTCGAAATTTAAACAGTTAAAGGGAATCATAATGGAATGGCTTATGACATTTCTGGCCCACATTCTTAATTAATTGCATTACTCAGAGGGGGAAATATCAAAACTTTCCAGCTATTGTTGTTTCCTCTTAAGTCACAATGGGTGCATGTTGATTCCTGATAAATAAGCCCAATAAGCATTGTTTATTTGCTGCATATCTCTTTTTAAACAGTCATATCTGATAATTCCAAGCTCGTTGATGGAAAACTGTTCATGACTTGGACACATTGTTTCTTTGGAAAGTAAGAGGCAAAATAATTGTTTAATTTTTGTTTTTGTACTGTTGTCCCTAAACAAAATATTTTAAATGGGCTTGTGGTTATTTTTTCTTTCTGTATATTTGCATCCATATTTCATCATGTATTGTCCAGTATTTTTGCCTAAATCCTTTCTGTTCTTACTTTCTTTTCTATTTAACTAGACTTTCTTTGCAGCTGTTACAAGTAGACATTATATTTGTATTTTAATCTAAGTTACATTTTATACTAAGATTCTGCAATGATCTCTTCCTTAGGTAATCAATACAAATATGCTTTTTCTTTATCTAGAGCAACACTACACCTGGAGCTATGACACGGCGAAACACTTATGTTTGTAGTGAACGAACTGCTGCAGACAGACACTCGGTAATTCAAAATGGCAAGGAAAGCAGGTAAGAGTTTCTGAAAGGAGGCTTAGGTTACTATTTCAGGATTATTGAAAGCATACCGGTAAAGGCATGCTTTTTAGTGAAGAAGATAAGCATGAAAAAAGCAAATAATACAGAGACAAAATTCTATCCTAGGCATACGTAGAATGTTCTGGTGTTTCCCAGAATGTTCTATTTTTCTCCTGGAATATGCCAGATTGGGAAATTCCAGGGGAAGAACAGAATACTGTTGAGAACTTTAGAATATTTGGTGCTTGGAATGCAGTTTTGCATTAAATTAATAGCTGAGTTATTTAATTTTGTGATTATATACTTTAGTGTTTCCTGATTTGTCGTCATTGAAAATAAAATACCTTATTACTGTACATATATTAAAAAGAATTATTACTGTAGGACAGTAAAATATAAATATTTACAAAAATGTCTGCCTTTGAAGACTAACATGCATATTATACCTCACCATATATTTATTTTCAGTCTCTTCTGAACTTTCAAAACATTTGAATAATTGTTTTCTCTGTGAGTTCACGTTCTATTATGTATCAATATATAATACAATATGCTGTTTTTTATCTCTACCTAAGTTTAGAATGTAACTAAACGTTTTAATATTTATATTGGCTCATAAATTCTAAAGTGTAAAAACAGGTGGCAAGTAGTCCCCCCTTTCTCTCTTAGCATATTGTCTAGAACCGTGATGGCGAACCTATGGCACACATGCCCGAAGTGGCACCCAGAGCCATGTCGCCTGGCACATGTGGCGCCGCCCATTCCTCTTCCGGGTTTCTGGCGCATATGCACACGCGACGATCAGCTGGCCTTTGTGTGTGTGGCAGTGCCGGAAACTGGATGAGCTGGTCTGTGACCCGGGAATGGGGCTTCTTCGAACTTCGGAATTGGGAGTGTCCAGAAAGAAGGAGAACCAATGGGAATTCTTCATTCTTCAGCGTCATTGGTCTCCAAGGAGAGTTTCCTTTGACTTCACCCACTGGAGGAGAGAGTTCCATGCAGAGAATAAGCCCAAGTTGGTTATTCATGCCAAGATCCCCCCTCCCACTTTCTCTGCTTCTCTCTCCCCGCAGAACTGTCTCTCCTCCTTTAGGTGAAGTCCCAAAGGACTCTGCCCAGAGACCGATGATGCTCAAGCAGGGAGAATTCTCATTGGTGCTGCCCCTCGTTCTGGCCCCTCCCATCTCAAAAGTCCAAGATAAACACTTGTTTTCTCCACAATCTTCTGTCTGTTATATATGTATAGGGTGTTTGTGTGTTTTTGTTTGTTTCCTTACTTGCTTTTTGCAACTCAATAGCTTGCATGTTTATAACTAGTTAGTTGTATTCTTTCTGGCTGTGACCAGCTCTTTATACAGCTTGCCCTAATACATATTCCTATTTTTGACTGTGACACCACAAGTCCTTGTCAACATTAACTTTTTTCTGCATGTAAAAACAGTTTTTTCCTCCAGTAAAGAATAACAGGGATAACTTCAGATGAATATACTAAACATTTCTTTAATATCAAACTAATTGGCATCCATTATCTAACAACTCCCCACCACCACCATTTTACAGTTCCCTTGTGGAATAATCTTTTCTTGATCAATATTTTAAGTATTCCTTACTCCTTTAGGATTGACAAAAATCCTTTTAGCCTTCTATTATAGCCAACTTTTAGAAAATATTAGAATTAACATTTTAAATTAAAATGTCTAATGTATTTTTCCTCTTCAAAAATACTTTGAAAATCATTTAAGAGTTTTCTTTGTATTCTTTTTAGCCTGTTTTTAATCTATATAAAACCTTTTTTTCCTCTATATACAGATTTTTATTACCATTTTGCAATATGTTTGTGTTGTAAAATGTACAGTATATAACAATATAGAAAAATAATTTTCTACAGTATAATCTACAAATCTTTGTCTGTATGCTATAGTAGTATATTATGCTGTTTGTAAACACAGCTTTGTAAATGATTGAGGTTATACAGTTGAAATGTTTAAGGTCCCTTTGGCTTTATTCTAGTACCATTCCTGATCAGAGAACACCAGTTGCTTCAACTCACAGTATCAGCAGTGCAACAACACCCGATCGTATCCGATTCCCAAGAGGAACTGCCAGCCGTAGTACTTTCCATGGTCAGCTTAGAGAAAGGCGCACTGCCACCTATAATGGACCCCCTGCGTCACCTAGTTTATCTCATGAGGCAACACCACTTTCACAGACACGAAGTAGGGGCTCCACTAATTTGTTCAGTAAATTGACTTCAAAGCTGACTAGAAGGTATGTATTTTTTAAAGAATCACAAACTAAGTTATAATTACTACAGGAATTTTCAGTACTGAACAGTTACACTTATATACATGTGGCATTTTTATGTGTCAAATGATTTTTTTTTTCTGTAACTATTTTTAACAATTAAATATTGACTATAAAAGTATCGAAATGATAGATCCGGTTTAGGAGCATTACTTTGTAAGGAGCTGCCTGCGTTTTCTCTCAAACAAATGTTACGCTAAAATGGATAACACAGTAGGTTTTCATCCTGCAAAGAGAAGTGTAGTTGTGGAAGCCAATTAAAACGACCCTTTTAAACAGTGTGAACTATGATGTAGAACATCTGCTGTAATGCGGCGTATTTTAATGAATAGGAGTATAGAAACTGTTCCATGTGCCTGGATCAGTTGGATTCAGGATTAGCTTTGACGGAACTGATTGAAACATGCACGTTTCCGATACTTTGGTTCATGCACAGTCAACAGTTGATCAGGATGGAACTGTATAGTTCCAGATAAGGAGAATACTGTTCATTAAAGAGAGGTAGGAGGAGAAAGTGCTGAGAAGATTGGGGGATGGCAGGGCAGGGAGAAATACCAAGTGGTGATATTGGTGTTGGCTGAAGGGAATTCCTAGTGAGATTGGGAAGCAGACAGGTAAGGGAAATACGTGTGCCAAGTTGTAACAGGAAATCTTACCAACAGAACTTTTTTTCGGCTAACGTTTCTGAAACGTTGCCTCTTTGCTGTTTATCTATTTAGTGGTTTTATTGTGATTCAGCTCTAGCATATCACAAGAAAATGAGAAGCATTCTTTATAGGAACTTTTCTCAAAATGCACAACATACAGGACACAGAATTAACTATAGGTACCATGTTAATGTTCAGTGCTTTAGACTTGTAGAGACAGAAGCAGATGGATTGGACAGTATAGATGCTATATAGCCTCAAAATGAAAATTTGTATGTTCCAAACAACATATTTTACACCTTTTTGTCTGCTTTCAAATAATTAAAGTTACAGTTGCAGATTTTACAAGAAATGTGAGAAAGGATTGTTTCTGTGGACATTTATCTTTGTTTGGAATTATTGATTACTAGGAGCTGCACCTCCAATGTTTCAGGGGATCCCAGTTGCAATTAATTAAGCAAAAGGGTAAAGTACATTCCTTAGTTGTAGAACAGGGCTGTCAAACTCCCAGCCCGCAGGCCAGATGCGTCACGCACTGGCCTCACCCACGCCCAGTTTAACGAAGGGGAATAAAGTCCCGATACATCACATGATGCCACCGTGACGACTTGAGTTTGACACCCCTGTTGTAGAAGATGTTTTGCAAGCAGAAGATACCAAGTTCTACCTTTAATACTTCCATGTAAATTTGGATGTCTGGGATACTGCATATAATTTGATTAACTGAAGTTCTTGTATTTTTTTCACTGAAAAATCTCTGAATGCTCCTCAGCTGTTTTCTGTAAGAGAGGTTTACTGTTCCACCATTGCTTAGATCATTTTTATGATGCCTGATTAGGGTTTAAACCAGATGTGCAATATTAATCTTTGCCTGTACTAATGCATTAGATATCCAATACAAATCTTATGACTATTCATTTGGTAGAGGGAACTTGGACATGGAGTATGGATAAAGGAGAATGTTTCGAGTTCTGTTAACAAAAATTAAGAGCTCTGTGGAGGATTTTTTGGGCCATCTAGTTAATTTCTTTCACTGAATACCAGAGGTTTTACTTTTTAAAAGTCATTTTAGTCCAAAACTGGAATGTGCAAAATTCAACAATTTGGGAATTAAATGTTTTGTTCCTGAGTAGGCAAATATTGTACATCCCTAGTCCAAAATATTCAAATACTTACGTGAGTTTCCATTGTATCTGAATTTTTTGAAGAATGTCTGTAAATATCCTGAAATGTGCATGATAGTTACCTATCTGCTCAGTATTTCAATCCACATATACACTCTTGAATCATACGTAAATAGTTCTATAATTTATTGGCATACTTTTTAAGCAAAGTCCTTTTGACTAGTTAATCATATTTGTAGAACCTTGTTTATAATGTACATATATGTTGACATGTTCAGAACGGATTCCTAAAATATGTACATTCAGAAAGTAGTATTTTTTATATGTAGTTACTAAAAATGTAATATGTGCATTATTTCTGCAAGTGATCAGAGTTATTTATACAACTGACCAAATATTTAACTTTCACTCCAGAATGTAGTATTTTTATGCTTGGAATGATCTGTACATATTTCCCAAACCATCATCCTTTGCTTATGTATTTTTACCCTACAATAATGTTGTTTAGGCATTTAAAGTATTAAACAAAATATGGGTGTTTTATCTTATTTGAAATATTTGTGATTCTGTTCTTGGAAAAATAGAAAAAAGTAGTAGATTTAGGTCATCTAATGAGGAAATAAATTGGAAAAATACATTCTTCTTTTTTTTCAAGTCCCCAGTGCTTTAAAATATACTGCTTTAAATGTAGATATTCGCTTATAGGGAGAAGCAGTCAGAAATGATTAAATCACTCCTATTAAATCACCTGATTATTTGTCTCAAGCTCAGGGAATGTAGAGGAAATTCAGAAAAAAACTGGCAAAACTACTTGTCAGTTTTTTCCATCCAGTTTTTGATGACCTTTTTCTTCTTGAATGCCTAGTGAGATCTTCTGTTCTGATAATATTGTAGAGAGAATCCGCATTTGTGGGTTGGTGAAGCAAGTCGTCTTCCACCTGCCTCCTCTGAGGGCTGATATCCTTTGTTTTTATGTTGTCTTCCAGAACATGTGCATACTGTCAACGGTGATCTATTACAATAGTATATAGTAATACACTGTCCTAATTTAGCTGTTTTTGGTTAATGATAAAATGTAGAAAGCAGAAGTGACATGAAAGGATTCTCTGCTGCTCAGAAGATGTCCCAGATCAACTGTTAATAAGTACTAGGAGCACACAGAGAAGGAAAATGTTGAATTCCTCTTATTGAAAGGTTGTCCATTTCAATAACTATTTTTAATTTAATTAATGAATTGAAGTGTTTCCATATTTCATTCAGCTAGACTTATTCTGTGTCTCACACAATGAATAGATTTTCAGTTTATTTCATAATAACCCATTTGTTAATTATTATTTTGGCTTTAATTTCTTTTAGAAACATGTCATTCAGGTTTATCAAAAGGTAGGATTTTATTCATATTTTAAGAACCAGCTCTTGCAATTAACACCGAATTTGGCTTTCTAGCCTTGATTTTTCTTTTTTAAAATGAAACAACACTAAACCTTCTGCTGAGAACTAAATACTTTTCATGAACCCAAGAAAATAAAATAAAAAACTTCATATTAACTAATGATAATCCCTGTGGACTCCTGAATAATGAGATGCAAAGCATGCCTTGTGCGCTTTACTTACTTCAATAGTTCCAAAAATAATTTTATTCTTTATACTAATACACTTAGCATGCTTGTGATTGGAGATTGATGTTTGGTGATACTGATTTAAACGAGTAATGTACAAGAAACAGGTAAGTATCTCAGAACTTGCTTTATTATTCACATTTTAGTTTCAGTACCTTGCAAATTTCCACTAATAATACATTCAGAAGCGATTTATGATTTGCAAATAAACTATTAATATTGATAATGACAGTATTAAATATCTTCAAGATTTTCAGAAAGTGTGTGTGTGTGTGTGTGTGTGTGTGTGTGTGTGTGTGTGTGTCGGTAAAAATGGAAGGTGGTGTTTCTGCTGTTTGTTTGTTTGATATTGATGAATATGTTGATCAGAAAAGGAGAAATAAAGAAGCTGTTGCTTCCTATTTTTCTCCCTTGTCAGTTTGCAGCCAGAAAGAGCTTGTTGGAGCTTGCTTGAATATTCTGCAAGTTTGAGAAGGATTTTTCATACTCTTTGGTTTAAGAAAAAGTGGAATGTAGCTTACTGCATATATGTGTAATTAGAGCTGGTTAGTTCACAGTCTTTGCCATTTGCAAAATTAGTCATCAGTTAGCCCGTACTTGTATTTTTTGTTACTACCTTCATTCTCTTCAGCCTCTCTTCATACGCTTTGCTTCATGTTCTTCTCACTGAGAGCTTCTCCACTTTCATATGGATTGCACCCACCCAGTCCATATGCATTATAAGCAGAGTTTTCTTATGCAATAGGAGTTGCCTTTGCTTTATTTCCCTTCTCCTGGCTGCTAGATAGCCTCCCAAGTACTACTGAGTAGGAAGAAGGGAAAATTCATTCTATTGGCAAATACACATTCAGTGTTTGATAGATACAATATTAAGACTGTTAGACTATTTTGCATGTATACTTGTCAGCTTGCAGTGGTCTGCATTGTTAGCCCTTGAGGTTTTCAGCTAAACGTAGGTAGTTTAGTGACTATTCAAAGTTACAACGGTGCTGGAAAAAAGTTACTTACAACAGGTCCTTGCACTTACAATCGTCACAGCATCCCTGCAGTCAAGTGATAGCAATACAAGCAACTGGCAACCTCCTCGGATCAAGCGATTGCCATTTTTGACCACCTTAGCTGCCTTCCAACAAGCAAAAACTACAAGGAAGCCAGTGGCAAGGTTGCATGTCAGTCATGTGATGTCTCACTTCATGACTATGGCAAAAAATGTAAAATTGGGTGCAGTCACATTGATGCCTCACTTAACCACACCACTTAACAGCAAATTTTCTGGTCCCAATTGTGGTCATCAGTTGAGGACCACCTATAGATTGAATTCAGCCATTGTTCTTGCAGGCTCAGATAACGGTGTAAGAGTTGGATAATTAAAGTTGTTGTCAATGTGTATCCCAAGAGGTATAGGTGTTGCTCATTTCACACAAGAAATGAAATGCACAAGTCTTCAGTAAGAACAGTATTCCCCAATATTTGCAGTTCCATTCAAAGTCGAACTTAAGTGGCAGCATGTTTTCTGTAGACATTGCCTACTTTTATTTTTCTATGAGAACACCTTGGTTAATTAGGCCACTGGGTTTTTGGAATAATCTTGAATGAAAGTATATGATCTTTTTGAGACATTTCATTTCAGTTTTTGAGACAAAAATATACAAATGTAATGTTACATTCCTGCACATAAAACTGCTACTTCTTTCTGTAAAATTACTTAAGACCTCTCCCCAGTAGCAGAACCATTTCAAATACAATTAAAATTTATTTTGCTTTAATTTGTGTTGTCTTCCATATATTTCCCCAGTGGTGTCTACATCATAACAGCCTTGTCTGACTTTTAGTGTAGTTTTATACAGCTGTTTTGGTAGTAGCAAATAGAGGCATGCTTGTTTTGACTTAAAAATAATGCATTTTATTTTGTTAATAGAGTTTAAACCCAGTGAATATTTTTGCTTTGTTTATAACTTTCTAGTACTCTTTTCCAACCCCCCCCCAAATGAAGTAATAAAAATATAAAAATCTATTAAAACATCTTTTTTAAAAGAAGCAACAGAACAGCAGTAGAAACAATTCAGGCACTGATATCACCAAGAGAAAAAACTGTCTAAAAAGCACTTTTGATTATGTATTGATTATTTATAACTTTAATTTTAGTACCTTCTGCTTGCATTGGTGTCAATTGCAGCTTAATTGACAGCTTAAAAGCCATCTGGTTTTGTGGCTGCCATATGCCAGTTTTTCAATTATAAATTCCTATTAGATTGTTCTTACCATGTGAGTTTACTGCTTAATTTATAATGTTTAGGATATATCTTGCATCACTATTTTAACAAACTAACAGAATTTACCAGTACAAGTGCTCTTGCATAACACAGTGCCAAAACAATAAATTAAAGCCAAAGTTCATATTTCTTATTTCACTTTTACTATCTTCCAGTATATTTTCCTTTTCTAAGACACAGTGCAAATTAATGGAAGAAGTTATAGTCCTATTGTTATGTTATGTTATTAAAGTACTTCTAATATTAAAACATTAATTAGCCTTTTAATTGTTCTATAGAATGCTACTTTCAAATGGTATATAGCTCTGCAGAATTGGACTTCACATTTTTATGGAGCTCTAGATTACATAATTATAAATCGTGATAGATGTAATACATAGTGCACTGAACTGCAAAAAGAAATAAGTTTATTTTTCACAGATTTGTGAAATAATTCAGACTTTCATATCAATCAGCTTTATTTTCATACAGCAGCCAGCCAGCCTCTTTAAAATATATTTAGACACTGCCTTGCAGTCTTGTTTCCTGTACAGAATATAATGTAGAATTTCACCTGAATATGTTGAGCCAATCAAATATATATTTTATTGTTACTATATTTTATACTGACTTTTGAGGTAAAACTTTCTATATCAGTCTGACTAAAATTCCATACAAAGCTGTGGCAGTTCCACAATTAGGGATTCAGATAAGATCTGTATAAAGACTTTGCCAGCATACTTTCAGTCCAGTATCTCAGACTTCTAAAAATAATATAGATAGCTCTGAACTTACAGTGCCAAGAAAGGATTTCTTTCTTATTACTCTGTTAGCTATTTATCTATCCATTGACAACAATTTTGTCATAGAAATTTATTTTGAAAACTAGTTTAAATATATGTCTTTTTAAAACCATACATTAATTAGAAAATATAGGTTAGTTGAGATTCTTTTCACATCTAGTTTATTTTCATATCTTCCTGAGAGAATTAAGACGTATTTATCTTGTATTATTTCTATTTTCTTTAAAGATTTATTGTTAACAAATATGCTAAGTACATGAAATTACAGAATAATAAAAATTTCTAGCTGAAAATATGGATACTGTGAACAGCAATTATCAAATTGGCTTAAAATTTTCTTTACCAAAGAAATGCTGCTAAAATCCTGGGAAGAATAAAACACAAATATAAGGTGTTTCTATTAGCTTATCTTAAACTGAAATTAATTTTTATTGCTTTAATTTTTTTCCTTCCTATCTAGCATCTTCCCGCAAGTAATTGAAATCTTTCACAACCAGCTTGTTTCTAATATCTCTAGAATATCTCAAACAGCAAATATCTGAGGCTTTCCAATATATTTGAACAGACAAAGACATGCTTTATATCCTGAATGTACTGATTATTTCAGTGAATTGCAATTAAATTGAATGAGATTTCAGTGTGCAGTGTTCTGCAATCATTATTTGTGCTAGTGTAAGATTTGTCTTCTCTTTCCTGCTTTCTTTGTGCTTCGGCATTGTTTTCATTGAGGCTCCCGACTGAATATGAGAGGAATGGGAGATATGAGGGCTCAAGGTGAGGGAAAAAAATGTTTTTTGCTTAAAATTTTAACTTAGATTAGTATGTCTCGTTCTCCCCTCCTTCAAGATATGTAAGGGTGTTGGTGGTGTTGGTGGCAGTGACTTAAGTATTTGAAACCCAAAATGCCTCATATCTGCAAAACTGTGATTGAGTCATTCAAAGTACATGATTCTGATTTTTCATGCAGGTCTAGACCTACTTCCACATCCTTAGAAAGAATCCATGATCTTAGCTGCAATGTAATAAATCAGCTCTTAAGAGATCCAGCAGGTAGTTTGCTGCTAAAGAATACTCTCTTATTTAGCTTCAGATTGTCCCAAAAGGAAGCTACTTTCATTGCCAGATAAAGAAGGAGCTACATGCTGAAATTGCCAGTTCAGATCCTAGGATGGGAAAACATCCTGCTATAGAAGCAGTTTCATGTGACTAGGACTTAATCACAGAAATTTCTGTTACAAGGGCTTTGAATAATGAGCTAATATTTTTTACATAAATTCATAGATTTTATTGGCCTTAAAAAAACCCAACCACCACCACTTCTAGGATCCTGTTAGAAAATACCACATGCTGGGAAATTAAATGAAATGTAGTTGTTTTCTTGAATGCCACAGTGTTATCTCCAAAGCATTTGATGTAATTTTGATTCCATGCACAAAACTTAACAGTACTAGATTAACTTTATTTTTTAGAATTTAGGTGATTAATACTTTTCAGAAGGGCATGGCAATTTTTCACAGGATCAAGAAGCAGAAGAGTATGAACTTCTAAAAATTCCTGTGACCTCATTTTCTCTTAGCTTATCCCCAAAGAGTAAGGGAATTGGGCTGGGAAAGGAATGAGGCCATTTGTCATACAGAACTAAATGTATTTTTACCCAGAAGATTGTAGTCCAATAAACAAAAATCTTAACAGCTGCTGGTGTAAATTGAACCAGATCACAGTTTATAACTTTAATTCTAATCTATCTGTATATACAGTAATACAGTTTTGGAATATCTATGTTAATTTTGCTGTTTTTCTGGAGCAAAACATAAATGGCAGTTTTGACCAATATGAATTATGAGTGATAATTTATAAAATAATATGATGAACCTGTATTACTAACGTAAAACATGGAAAATTATCTGTTTATTTTTTTAAAGAAAATATAAATTTTTTAAGTCTGAAGTCATCTTCTAGCAATTACAAACTTTTAAGGAATCTTTTCTAATAGGTTCAAAGTGCAGCACCAACTTATTGTGCTCTCCCTAAAGAGTTGTTCCTTAAAAACCCCAATTCCCAATGTTGTATATTTTCTTCAGTATACTCTATAAAATTTAGTATAGGCAAGCCTACTTGTTTCGTATTTTGTGAGGATAGGGATATGACCAATAAGGGGAAAAGATTTGGAGCAGAGAAGTGGCAGCAAAGTAATATGCAGTACCATAGTCACACTTCCATTTGCAGCCCCCAGCCCACCCCCATAACATCTGCTTTCGGGAGGATGTAACTGTGGCTTTAGCTTTATAAAGCTCTGTCTAATTCATGTGTTTGCTAAACACTAACCTAAGCTTTTTAATACTGATAGAAGAATGTTTTTAATAATGCATGCCTCAAAAGACAATAACTTTTACTAACAGCTATTTCCAGGTTCATCCATGAATACTGAAACTTGATTTCATTTCAGTCGTAACGTGGCTGTTGATCAGAAGGATGACAGCAAGGAAGCCAAACCCCGTTCACTACGATTTACTTGGAGCATGAAAACTACCAGTTCAATGGATCCTAATGATATGATGAGGGAAATTCGCAAGGTCCTGGATGCCAATAATTGTGACTATGAACAGAGGGAACGTTTCTTGCTTTTCTGTGTCCATGGGGATGGCCATGCAGAAAACCTTGTGCAATGGGAGATGGAGGTGTGTAAGCTACCCAGACTGTCCCTGAACGGAGTTCGCTTTAAACGGATATCGGGAACATCCATAGCTTTTAAAAACATTGCTTCCAAAATTGCCAATGAATTAAAGCTGTAATGAGAAGAGCAATCGAGTTTGTAAATTAAGTAGCAAATTCAAGTGTTTTTGTTTTGTTTTTGAGGACACCAATGGTCATGTATAGAATACTTAGGGCAATAACTTCTGCATCTTCTGGATCGTGATATTAAAACAAAACAGTTCAGACAAGCTGCTGAGCTGGGAGGGAAGTTGGACTCTTTTTTTATAAGTGCACTACAGCATTAAAGTTGCCTATGTAAAATATTCCCTTCTGCTTTATTTCCATTGCTTTGAGTCTTGACAAACAATCTGAAACACACCATGTATACATTTGGATATTCCTCCTGTTGTGTGGATGTGTGAATGTACAGTATGTGTGTATAATTATAATATAAAAGTATTATATGTAAACAATTCATTTATAGCATCAGAACTGTATCAGTACCTCTTCCAGGTTAATTTTGGTGCTAAAATTGAAATGGCCAAGGTGAAAGCCCTTAAAAATACTAAATAATCGGTAAACACAAGTTTCACAGTTCACTGTTGTGTTTAAGATTATGAAGGTTTGGGTTTGTGGGTATGAACATTATTCCTGTGTTTTTTAAAATTAATTTACATAACATTTAAATCCCCCCCCCAATCATTCATTCTTTTCTTTTGCCTATTTATTATTATTTAAGTCTGAAATCAGTTTAAATTACATAATTATGATAATGAAAATTGTCGGGGAAATGCTTCAAGGTTACATGTTTTTTCCTTTGCTAAATTGGTTGAGCATTTTATCCTCACCTTTTTTTTTCTAGTACACATTATAATTTTACTTGAAAAGTTTGTTCTCAACTCCTATTCATTTCAGTGGAGCTGGTGCAGAGAAAATTTGTTGCTAATGAAATACTGTAGAAACAGCCTGAACAATTGATATAAATTTTGCATTTAGGCTACCTTATAATAATGTATTTTGAAGTAAAATAACATATTCAGGCATTTCTAGTGTGAAAAAAAATCCTATGGCAAAATAACTGGGCCAGATCAACAAAACAAAAGAGAGAAAATTCTTGAATTCCAGTAATTTAACTTTCTTGTATGTATTGTCAATGACTGATAATGTTAATCATAAACAAAACACTATCAGCATAGTTTATAAAAGTGAGAAAGTATGACCTGTCCAGTCAGAATTTATATTTTATTTGGTCTTTCCCAATTGTTTGCTGTCCAGATTTTAAAATTGGTTATGCAGGCTGGGAATTATGGGAATGGTAAAAAAATTTTTTAGCGAGATTAGAGGATTAAGTCTATCTCACATGTTTCAATTTTGTCAGAGGCTTAAACTTCCTTAAAGCCTTGTTGCTGGTCCAGTCTTCCTTTATCATCAATTGCATCTATATAGCAAATTCTGCCCTTAGAGACAAAAAGCTGTTGAAAACAGGGTGGGTGGGTGGAGAGGTTTTTCTGCCAAGTGACATGGTAGCTCATAATTTTCATTTGGAAATGCTTCTGTAAATCCAGACAGGTTTATATGCTTTCTTGCACAGCTTCATATTTAAAAATATTTTAGTCACAATGCACTGGAGTTTAGAAGGGGGTTGTAAATGGCTTAAATCTTTGTTGTTATGCTGGGTACATAACTCCAATCCCTGAACCTTTATCTAAATTTCTATTTTCTAAGCTTGTGACAAAGCTTCAGACATTCAGTGTAATTATGATGACTAAAACACTTTTCAAGAAGGCTTGCTGATCCTGCATTGCAGGTGATACTAAACAATTTTAGGGTGTACTCTACATGAATTGGCTGTAACTATCTGCCTTTTTCAAACTGCTATCTCCACTGCTGGTCCTTACTAAACTGGATATGATTTGTCTAAATCAAATCATAGGATGATATAATCATCTTCTGCTGACTGAATCAATGCCTTTTGATTCAAATTTGATAGGAGCTTAAATTATCATGTTAATGATAATTTTAGATATTAGATATATGGTCTGGCAAAAAACTTCATTTAAAATGTAGTGAATTGAATTATAATATTTCATTTGGAGGCATCCAACTAAAATTCAATCCAGAACGGTAATACAGAATACTGAATGTTCCAGACATTTTTCATCTATGTGTAATTCTCCCTTGAAACTTTGTAAAGATGTTATATTAATCCTACATTGCTGTAGTATAGCACAAAGTGACTGAATTTTGTTTTTGTTTTTGTTTTTTAAAAAAGAAAAGAACAGTATTCTGTATAGAGATATAATTATAACAATTGTTCAACAGTGGCCGTAGCAAGTACTGATTCTCCATTTTGTCAAAGCAATAAATAACATTTCAGGGCAATTCTTTAAAATTTCAGGTGAGTATCATCTGTCCTGTTATCTTTCCTGTTTAAATCTTTTTAAGCTAATTGAACTTTTTAATGCATAAAAATTGCCCATTTTTATATTGTTCTGAAGAGAGACAGGCCAAAAGTGAGAAGTAAAAAGGATGTTTCAAGATGATAATATATATTCTTTAGAGTCTGCAGACTTGCTGAATGAGATTTTACCATGTTCATAATTTCTGTGCTGAAAGGTATTCTGCAATACAAACCTTCCGGTGATGCTATAGGTTTTCTAATAAATTTGTCATCTGCCATAACTTGTTTCTATTTGTCAGTAACATATATTGTACTCATCTTAATTTTGAATTCATTCAAAGGTTTAGAATTTTAAAGCACCTAATTAACTAAAGGTTCTATTGTTTACTTCATAATTCACCCAATGTACTAGCTACTGTTTATTCTACCAGGGGATACATTGGGATGCAGTATGATGGAGTCATCTTATATACATAGACATTGGAAAGGAAAATAGCTTCTGCCTATTGTAAGAGCATTCTTGCTACTCATTCTTAAGAGGCACTTTTTTGGAAATGCTATTATTGCCAGAGAAACTCAAAATCTTGCTTACATTACCACTGTACTTTCTTTTTCTGGGCTTCCTGTTTCCAATTGAATCCTAAGTGTAGTTCAAATGTTAATAATAATTTCCAATTTGCTGTTTGAATATGTGTTAAATGCCTATGTTTAGTTGATCCATACCTGATACTGCTTGGGATATATAATTTTCAGAACAATGAGATAATATTGCTTGAAACAAATAATTACACTAAGCCAAACATTTCTTAATACTGTTTCTACTTTAACTTTATACTGTAGCTATATAGAAGTATTGTTTCCTATAAAAATATGAAAAGCTCTGAGGTATTCAGTCAAGAAACTTACCTAGTTTAGTTTCCCACAGTGGTCAATCAATTGTATAAATCTCAGTGGCAGGTATAAAAACAACAAATGTTGATCACTATCTATTAAGTGCTGGTATTCTGAAGCGCTGCCTGTCTCAATTTAGTTTTTATTAGACACTATGACTATTAGAATATTCTGAAGAGTATATTGAACATAACAATATACTTGTTTTTTTAATGCAATCATAGCACTAGAATGCAGAAATGAATGCAAAAACCCAGTATATTCCAGAATTTAAATACCTATCTCCTAGTGTTAAGGCTAATGAAGGTTTATGCAAAAAATCCAAAACACCTGAATACTGCAAGTTGTCCCTAGGTATCATAATGCTTAAGTGAAAATGGATTTTTCTTATAAATCTGCACTTTATAGGTTTCTTGTTCAAAGTCAGTTTGGATTTTACCTTTTTAAATAGGCGTCCTTCAATGATTTGGTTACATCACTACTCATTTCCAAATTCATGTGGAAGCTGGATGGCTTCCACATGTAGAACTACAGTAGCATAGTCAGTGATCCAGGTCTCAACACATGAATTAGGAAATTTTACATTTATGTTGTAGCATCTACTTAATTACTCCATCTACATGTTCCTTAGATATTGCTTTCTTGGCAGAAGCTACTCCCAATTCCTTTTCAGCAGGTCTTGTGTATTGTACCAATAAAAGAGAATATAAGTAGCCCAGGGTTGAACCATGGGGTCCTTGGCACTCTCTGAGCTTGGTTGTTTGCTAGTAGACATTTCATTGACTATTACTAGCACTGATAATAGCTAGTCTCAACATCTCAAGCAAACAATCCAGCTCAGCAAGCATCAAGTATTCCACTCATATATTGTGTTTTTCCAGAAACGTATGTAGAACAGGCTAGAATATTTTTAAGGACAAGATATTTTTCAAAAGATGTATCTTTTTATTATATATGCAGATCTGCTGTGTCTATGAATAGCAGTAAACCCTATGCATCTTGATTTAAAAATAAATGTTATTAAATTCAGGATAAATAGGATAAATCGACTGAAAGGGCGAGAATAAATCCTTAAAATCCCAGCTATTAACCTGGAGGCAGGGAGAGGATGCTCCCAAAAAAAGATATTGAAGACTTTTGAAAATGAATGGTATAATCAGTCTGTTGTGAAGTTTTTAAGAAGTCTGTGCATTTGGAAAGATGTCAGAGGGATCATTTAAGAGTTCTTGTAACAGACATAAAGTAATATAGTAACTCTATACCTAACTGAGGAACAAAGCTAGGTCCACAAAATTGTAATGACCTTGGTGGCCACACGATGTCTCTCAGGTGCAGAAATAGAAAAAAAATTACATATACATTCTGGTGGTTATCAATAGACAGATCTGCTGAAAGATGAATGATGAAATAATAATAAATAATAACAGATTCGTGGTTAATTTGGTTTGATGACAGATCTGTTAGTTTATTTTTAAGACTTGTGGGCTTTTTTTTCAGAAGAGCTCTAAGGCAGCATGCAAATAAAAACAGAAAAATAAAGCACTCAAAAGAAAAGCCTAATTTTATATTTAAAATTAAATATACAGTAAAATCCTCAAGTATTAATAAGTGGCCCTGCTGTATTTCAATACAACTCAAAAGGAATGCCATTACCAAGAAAACCTAAAGGTATTTAATTCGTTTTTATTCTATTTTAAATTTTTGTATTTATGTGTTTTATTCTGTGGCTGTTCACCGCCCTGAGTCCTTCAGGAGTAGGGCAGTATATAAATCCAATAAAAATAAAAATAAAAATAAAATAAAGGTCATATCTACAAGCAGCAGAACCTTCCAAATAGATGTCAACCCACATATTGGTTAATAGTAAGATCACTCCCCTTTTAATTACTTGGAGGCTAAAACCTTGAAGGCTTTATAAATTTGACATGTCCTCTGTAGCTCAGTAAGAAAAATGTTAGGGCTAACACACTGCAGTTGCATTTATGGGAACTGTAGTCCAGTATATCTGGAAGATGTCAGCTTGTGGAAAGCCATTTCTACAATGTTTCAAGAACTCAGGAAAAGTAAATATGCTTAGTCTCAGCAAGGCATCTTTTAAATTCCAGTCTGGTGTTAGCCTTTGCAAAAGTCTCTACTATTAGGACTTAGGAAATGTAATTGCACAGGAAGTCAAGATAACTACCCACAGACACAAAAAGCTTCAAGTGAGGGTTACAGGAAAGACTGGCTTGATACTAAAACCACAAAGTCTGCCTTTAGTCACTTTCTTAAAATGGAAGGCAGGAAGTGGAGCCTTACAAACAAAAAGTTGCAGTATATCTCCTTAACAGCTATGTAATTATGTGAAGGTGTGACTGAAAAGAGTAACGCAAGAAAAAAAAGCAGCTTCAAATTTTGCTCTGCATGTGAATTTGTTTATTTAAAACATTTATATAAATTGCCCATCTAAGGTCAAATTCTGAGTAGCTCCTAATCATTTAAGACAACATCAGTAAAAACAACATAACATAAATCTATTAAAGCCATAAACATTAATAACTTGACACCAAAATTAAACTTCCAACATTCTTATGAAATCTCTGATCCACTTCACCATATTCTAGTGCAGGGGTGTCAAATTCACGTCATGGCAGCGTCACATGATGTATTGGGACTTTTCCCCCCTTTGCTAAACTGGGTGTGGGCATGGCTAGCACGTGACGCATCCGGCCCACGGGCCAGGAGTTTGACAGCCCTGTTCTAATGATTGGAGGAAAAAGCCAGGTCTTTAAAAGTGCCTTGCAAAAGGCTAAAAAGATGGAGACCTGCTGGACTTCATCAAGGGAAAGGGTATTCCACAGGCCACGGCTGCCACAGAAAAGGATTTCATGAGGTGGCAATGTTTAAGGGAAAGGACTAGGAGTTGTGCCCATTCTTTCTGATCTGATAGGAAGGGTAGATGTGCCTAGGGAGAGGCAGTGATGGTGGAGATGAGAGAGAGAAATTGAGGATTTATAAATGCAGTCAGTCTCTATGCAAGTAATTACAGCTCACTTTGGCTAAGAGGACATCTAAAGAGCATTTGCTTTGCTACCGTGGGGGGAGGAAGAGACAACTGACTTTTATTGGGAATTAAAACTGATCTTAAAACTTGCCTAATAAGTTTAACAATGGATTCTATTGCAAGTCTCTGTAATTAACTCTTGTTTATAGCATAGTCATCCAATCTGCCACTGAATATAATGTTCCACTAGCCTGCCTTCTATTCTCTCCACCTGTCTTACACTGCTGTAATGAAAGCAAGCATTAGGATTGCAAGATTGTTTTACTCCTGCCATTGCAGTCCCAGCCTACAAATTGCAATGGGGGGAGAGAGTCTAATTCCTTCAGACATATTATAAACCATTGGAGACTGGACTGTTATATTTAGTGTATTGCCAAATAACCACTATTTGTTTTCGAATTTCCATTATCAGAGTTATTTTTAAAATGTCTCATGCTGTGGAGGAATCTCCCTCTAGAGTAGGGGGAGGAGTGAAAAGACCGGTGAGCTTGGACAGAATAAAATGATTTTTCTTCATTTTGGCAAAATCAGGTAAGTGCATACTGAAGTAGGGAGACTCTTTTGATCTTTAACCTGATTAAAACCAGTAGCTTAAGACAGCAAATTGCCAACAACTAAAATGTGTCTTTTAGCTCTTAAGATCCTAGCTGCTTCATTTTAAACTAGCCCAGTTTAGTGTAGTGGTTAAGATACTGGCCTAGAAGCCAAGAGACGCACATTCTGGTCCTGCCTTAGGCATAAAAGCTGGCTGGGTGACCTGGTTCAATCAGTCTGTCTCAGCCCAACTCACCTAACAGGGTTGTTATTGGAGGGAAAATAGGAGGCAGAAGGACCAATGTTGCTTTTGTGATGTCTACATGGGGATCTAGGACTACAAAGGAGCACAAAAGATTCTTGTGGATCAATCTGAATATCAACCTGTTCAGCTTTTTAATGACGCCCTAAACAGTTCACAACTAAGTCAATGTGCAAATAGCAGGAAGAGATTCCCAAGAGTAAAACTGTCAACAATAAGAGAAATAGCATTTGATAATTTAATTTAAGATCCCCTAGTCCCAACTCTGATTGCAAAGTAATAAAAATAAGACTGCAGGGGGGCTAACTCAGGGCCAGCAAAGCACTAGGGGATGTAAGCATTGTCCCTTTGCAAACAAAACAATTGTCTGAAATGGGTCTTATTTGTCTAGTTCCCATAGAAACAAAAGCTGCACCCTCTGGCTTCTCTGTTTCTTCAGATGATTAAAAAGTAAAAAATCTAGCTCTTGTTCACTCACATGTTCCCGACAACTATGAGTCAGTCAAATAAGAATCAGTTGGCATTCCCAGTGCATCTGCTCCATACAATTC